ACAGACACAAAAAAAAAAAAAAAAAAAAAAAAACACAAAAAAAAAAAAAAAATAATAAAAAAAAAAACACATCATAGTAAAATTAATACCTTCTCAGCTTCGCATCGAAGCTAAAAAAATTCATAATTACTTATAGCCTGCGAGTAATTGAGTGATTTATAATACACAGTAATTCTATAAAGAATGTTGTGCAAGTAAGGAAACGGGATTCTATTGTTCTAATTGTTTTAATCAATTTACCTGTTTCCTTACTTACTGAATACTCAGTTGTTTAAAATAGATACTAATCAGTGACGCTGAAGTCAAAAATATTTTGTAGGACAAACATTTTTTTTAATTTTAATATCGTTACCCACTCCTCAAGAATAGCAAGATTTTATTTTTTTTTCACATGTGAATATAATAATTCTTCCACAGTTAATAACGTCTTATGGTCGAATGGCGAATGCGTGTTCTCGTGATGCATATAGATTCCGGGATCAAACATAACACAAGAGATAGTGAGTTTTTTCCATTTTTTACCTAATTATTTTCCTAATTTTTTTCACGGTTATCTCTTTGAATTATTAATTTTATGTAATAATTGCTATTTTTTTTTACATTTTATGCATCTACAAAAATCTTTCAAAAATCTCTATCATTTAAAAATTTATATACTTTTACCGGGTTAATATTGAAATAAGTTATATTTATGTGCATAAAATATTATTTTATCACTAAAAAATCGATAATTTTTACCATCAAATGTGTTTTGAATGTAGATAAAACTATATCGTATTATAAACTATATATATTACGTAAAATTAATAATTCATAGAGAAAACCATGAAAAAAATTCACTAGGATCACGAATCATTGATTCGCGACGCCAACACGTTATTGTCAGTGGAAGAAAAATGACCCTATTTAAGTTTATTAAAAATTTTTAAAGTCAATTTTCTCGATTTAGGGAGGCATTGACAAAAAATTCAAAATACTTCTTATTTTGAATTTAATATAGATTAAATTTATATAAATTTTATGAAAATCGGTACCCCATCACTGGAGGTCACAGTCAATATATAAATTTGAGAAAGAATTTATGCACTTATTATTTTCTTTCACTTATTGAAAAATAATTATCACAAGTGAAAAAAAAATAAAATCTTGTTAGTAATTTATGACTTTCCAAATTAATTTGATAGTATGAACCATAGATTAACTACACATAGATAGGCCACGGCATTCAGACAATTGGCAACCGATTTTTTGTTAATTTATACCCGTAGAGATAGCGCTATATATCCTCTCGGAAATATTAAATATTTAATAATAACTGTCCAGTTTGCTGATATTCAAATAATAGTCACGATTATTGATGTACGGCTAACATCGTTAGCGCAAATTAAGATAAGAACCAGTTAATACTAAAAGGCGATTGCTTATTTGATTTAAATGAAACTTTTCGTTTTAAATACAAATTCGATAAAACATGTGTTTTTTATTTTGATAATATTGATTTAAATTTGACTATTATTTATTTTTTTAAATTTTCTCTTAGTGTTGAAAATCTTAACTTATTACATAATTTCTCGCTACCGATTTTTNTGTTGAAAATCTTAACTTATTACATAACAATTTCTCGCTACCGATTTGTCCACTGTCAAGATTTTTATATTATTTGGTGTTTAATTTCTTAACTTACCAGTAATCAAGTCTAATAAAGATATTTATTAATAATTACACATATTATAAGGTTTTCATGTATAAAATTAGTAATTTATTTTTTCAAATATACAATAAAATATTAAAAAAAAACAAATTTTAATAATATATAAATTGAAATATAAAATATAGTTTAAAATATAAAAATTTTAAAAACAAATATTTTAGAAAAAAATCTATCATTAAAGTAAAAAGGACCCATACTAATTATATAACTGGAATTATATCTCTAGCTATATACAGGTGTTCAGTATACATACATACATCATATATACACCCTGTATATATGATCTTATAGTAATTAAGAAAATGTTTTTATTGGAAGTTGTATAACATAAATCAAAGATAATTATGCAATCATACCGATTTTAAACACATCAGAAAAAGATGTTTCAATTTCTATAAATAATATTAAATTTTATTTTTTATCACAAGATTTCGTGCTCATAAATAATATGTAAATACTATCAATTGTAATTATGTTAATGCTAATAATAATAATAATAGATTAACTCTTTTAAATCAAAACCTTAAATTAAATCATTTAAACGGCAAAGAAAAGTCGTCTATTAATAATCTATACAATCAATTTAATGATATATTAATTTTATCCGATGATAAATTATCTTATACTAATCAAATTGTACATAAAATAATTACTCCTAATGCTCATCCAATTAATATAAAACAATTGATACCCTATGTGTCATAACGAGGAAGTTGATAAACAATTAAAAAATCTTTTAAAGCAAGGTAGCATTGAAAAGTCAAATAGTCCATGGAACTCGTCTAGAATTCTAAATTTTATAAAGGAATATATATATTATGTTTTGTCTGTTAATAAATATTTTTTTGATTTGTTTTATACTCTTTTTGTATTTTCATAAAAATTATAAATTAATTGTTCAAAAAAAGAGTTATATAAAAGATTAAATAATCTGAATTATTTTTACCATGTCAGAAATATTTATTAACGATATTTTTTAAAAAGGCACTAGTATAGAATTTACTCAATACCTACAAAAAAGAATGAACCAATAAGTTAATACTTATTTGAGTCATTATGATATCTTAACTATATGCTATGTTAAGTGGAAAAAATGATACATAATAAATGTATTCGTAAAAAATTATAAAGTTATGTTTATGAATAAAATGAAATTACACCTTTCAGAAAAGCTAGATACAAAAATAGTGCTTATTATTTAAAAAAAAAATGTATAAACATGCAAAATCATGTTTGAGTATCGTATTACTGGCTTGTTAAATTAATTAGATTAGAAACATAATTTTAAGTAAAAATTAAATTAAAAGCAAAGTATCAGATATCTTATTTTAACAAATTTTAAAATTTTATATTTTTCATAATTTCTGAATGTTTAGAATTTATAATACATGATTTCAAAATAGGTTATTTTATGTATTTATGTTATTATTTATATATTAATATATTTTATTATTGTGGACTATTAGATGTGATTATTATATATCTTGATATAGTAATACAAATACAAAATAAGTATAATATAAAAGCTTTGTGATATTGGGGCACAGCTCACATGATGATTTTTATCATAAAGATTTTTCAACTCATCCTAATTACAAAGTAATTTATCTGCCACTGCTTTCTGTTTAAAATAATTTATAAAAATATTTAGAGACCAACAGTTTAGTCTTGTACTGTAATACCACATTTTATATCAAAGTCCTGTTAAGGATTCTTAGTATAGTATTAAAATAAAAAATTAAATAAAATTTCAATGAAAAATAATTACAAAGAGTTAAAATCATAAATAACCTTACATTATGTCATAAAATGCAATTAACGTGCATAACAATAACAGTTTAATTATGTGCATCATACATTCATGTAATAATTATTAAAGATATAAAATACCACGTATATTTCAACCAATAGAAGCACTCAAAATTTACGCTATCTATCAGCATAATCGCCTGCGTCCAGTGCATCGTTACCCTGCGTCCATTCATGATAAAAATTGGACTGCCAAAATTGTGTACGGCGTGGTCTATCTATGTGTATTTAATCTATGGTATGAACAAATATGGCAGTATTTAATTGACTAGTTCAGTCCACTATCAAGAGTCAACTTATTTTGGTTATAACATGTTTTAACCCTTTCAGTCCTGACACCAGAAAAATGTATATACTCCATTTTGTTTTTCACAGGCTATTTAATTATGAAGCAAATAAGTAAAATTAAATTAAAATAAAATTTTTTTTTAAACCCTATTTCCCCCACTTTTTGACCGGAACTTATTTGTCTCGTTTACATTTTTATTTGAAATACTTATTGCAAGTGGGCCTTAGATGTCCCAAACGGACGGTTGATACGATAATAGTAACCATTCAATTTATATATGCAATTTTCTCAATTTTTAGCAAATTTCAGGACGGGCGGGACTCAGACGTCCAGAAACGGTTAAGAAACTGACTATTTTCACATAGGCTAATATTGTGGTAAAATTGTAGATAAGACTTATCTACAATTTTACATTGATTCGACTTACGCATGAGTTCCTGATTTGTATCTAAACGTGTTAGATCTACATAAACATAATTTTTAGGTAGAAATATTAACAACGTCCACACTTAATAACATAATATTTTCTTGAAGTCGTAAGTTATTATAGCGGTAACCAAATAGTTACCGCATTTTTATATTGATAAGAAATTGCTAGCTAGAAATTACTCACTTCACACTCATCACATGAGTTCCTGATTTGTATTTAGAGGTGCTAGGTCTACATAAACATAATTTTTTTAGGTAAAAATCTTAGATCTGAAAAAATTGGGTAGAATTTTGGTGGAATTAATCACAATGAACGATAGTAAATCCGATGATTCTGAAAATATATTTCAAGATTTGGATGTTGATAAGTTAGAAGTCAATGTAGTAGAAAGTCTATGTTTCGAATGCGGTAAAAATGTAAATTATCTTATTTGTTCTAAATTGTTAAATACTATTATGAATTAAGTCAAGCATTTGTTACAGGGAACTACACGACTTTTGCTGACACGTATACCATTCTACAAAGAATTAGTGATATCTTCATTTGAATGTCCTCATTGTGATTACAAAAATAACCAACTAGATCCAGCTATAGAAATAAAACCTCAAGGTGTGCATTTAAACTTAAATATTGAGCAAAAAGTTGATTTGGACAGGTATGTAATTACAACAGATTATACTTGTATACGCATACCAGAGTTGGATTTTGAAATACCTCCTCAATCACAAAGAGCACAAGTTACTACAGTAGAAGGTATAATAGATAAAATTGTAGAAAATTTAAGTCTTTCAAAGGAGCAGTTGATGGAAACACATGCTGAACTTTCCTCAAAAATAAATGTAGTAATTGATAGCATAAATAACATTAAAACACTTAATAAACCAACTTTAATGGTTAGTATAATTTTATGTCTCTCAAGTTATATTGAATATTTAATTAATGTTTTTATATTTTTACTTGAAGATTTTTGAAGATGCAACAGGTAACATATTTATTTCTAATCCAATTGCTCCTCAAGCTGATCCTAGAATGCATTCCAATTTCTTTATACGTAGTAAAGATCAAAATATCATGATAGGATTATCTACAGAAGATAGCCAAGAATCAATGATTAAACCTTTAGGTAGTTTCAATGATGCTTCTGTTGCGAACATAACTGATGAAATTGTACAATTTAATGTACCATGCCCAAATTGTAATAAAAGCTGTGATACAAATATGAAGGTGACTGGTATCCTTTTTTAAATAATATTATTGTTTTAAACGAAAAGTTGGCACATACAGAGTGGCCCACCACTCACTGACAACTTAAATAACTTTTGATCCAGTTAATATTTTTAGTTGATTTTTTTTTTAAATAATAGTTATACGTTAGGTCTATAGCTATATCTCAATAATTAATTTTTTTACATTTTATTAAAAATATTAATTATTTTTAAATTTTAAATAAAATGTAAAAAAAAAATCTAAGATAGCTATTTTGTAGAGTAGAATTTAAGAAAAATTTTAGTAAAAAAATATCTTATTAATATTCAGTAGTAAATATTCTGTAGCGTTTTGAAGTTTGTGAAAATTTGAATTTTTATGTACTATTTTACGGTATTAAACATTGAAATACGTATTGAGAAAAGGACAGAAGAAAACGCTATCTTTTCAATATACTTTTGAATGAGAGTGATAAGTAATAATTGCCTTATCTAATTTCTTATCATGGTATTTATGCCAAGTTTGTAATGTATACACACTATCATCATATGTATACACAGTAATCATGAAAAGATAGCGTTTTCTTCTGTCCTTTTCTCAATACGTATTTCAATGTTTAATACCGTAAAATAGTACATGAAAATTCAAATTTTCACAAACTTCAAAACGCTACAGAATATTTACTACTGAATATTAATAAGATATTTTTTTACTAAAATTTTTCTTAAATTCTACTCTACAAAATAGCTATCTTAGATTTTTTTTTTACATTTTATTTAAAATTTAAAAATAATTAATATTTTTAATAAAATGTAAAAAAATTAATTATTGAGATATAGCTATAGACCTAATGTATAACTATTATTTAAAAAAAAAATCAACTAAAAATATTAACTGGATCAAAAGTTATTTAAGTTGTCAGTAAGTGGTGGGCCACTCTGTATATGTAGATATAAAATATGATGAAAAAAATTACAATAGTTTTAATATAAATACATGCTCTATGTTAAAAATTTAATTTCTTATGAAAATTTGGCAAAAATAATTTGAATAATTAATTTATAATTTTAGTACCTTAAAACATTTAAAGAAATTGATAAAAGAGAAAAAAAATTTACAAACTTCGGGTTCTTAAACACTTAACCTTTTGCTAAAATAGTATTGTAAAGTTAAACTTTTGTAAGTAAACTTGACTGAAAAGTAGTATTATCATATTTTTAAAATTAATACAGAAACTGAGAAAAAATGTGTACAATTATCATTTTTATTCATAGAATTACATTTTAGAATAAATTAACTACAAGGGTTTTTCTTAACATAGGTTATTACTCTTTAAGTCATTACTTACAACTCTAAGAATTCTTTTCTGACTAAATTTTGCTTTATATCTTCTCTAATCTTAATTTTTCAGATGTATTTTACTTGATTTAAGTAATTGATTGAAAATAAAATAAATAGGAGATTTGAGAAAAGTGTGATAATTTAAACATTCAATTTTGTGGATATAGTTTATTTTCCCATATAGTAACTTTAGATATTCCCTACTTTAAACAAGTGGTTATAATGGCAACAACATGTGATGAATGTGGTTATAGAACTAATGAAGTTAAACCAGGTGGTGGAATCGAAGACCAAGGAACTTTAATTACAGTAAAAGTTTCAACTCCTGAAGATTTAAACAGAGATATATTAAAAGTGATTATTTTTTTAGTTAATAAATATATAAAAAAGCTAATTGTTATTTTTTAGTCTGAAACTTGTGAACTTCTTATTCCTGAATTGGAGTTTGAAGCTGGAGCCCTTTCACTGAGTGGTCGTTTTACTACAATTGAAGGCTTATTGACTTCATTACAAGAACAATTGAGTAATACTGCTTCAACTTTTTATAAGGGTGATAGTCAAACTGGAGAAGTAGCTACTAAAACTGAACATTTCTTAAATGAATTAGAAAAAGTTAAAAAATGCCAACGATCAATAGAAATTGTATTAAGAGATCCTGCTGGAAATAGTTATGTTCAAGTTAGTATTTTTAAGACTCATCATTTTTACATTTTACATAATTATTATTAGTAATTTTTTATTTTTTAGAGTTTAACTCCTCCAATGTTAGACTCGAAATTGACTATAAAAAAATTTGACCGAACTGAAGAACAGAATGAAGAGCTTGGACTTAATGATATGAAAGTAGATGGTTATGAAGATAAATCATAAAATTTACATAAAAATAAAAATTTATTATTAAATACTATTTGTTAAGATTTTGTTTGAATAAAAATTTTCAATGATTATTTTGTTATTTTTTAATACAAATTACTTATTTTTTATATTATATAAAGTGTTACCTAAGTTATGCATAATCTATTTTTAGTAACAATTTACCTATATCTATACATATTAAACATCTTATACACTCATGTGTTTTTATTAAATTTTTTAAACAACTTTATTTAATAAAACTAATTAAAAGACAAATCGCATGTGAAAATTAAATTTTTACATTACACAAATGATGTAATAAATGTCCTCGTTATCCTTTAAATTTTTAACAAAGAAAAATATATAAGAATTGACATAAATATTGCACTTTATTTTAATAGACAATTATAAATTTACATAGGTAATAAAAAAATATTTTATCTTAATTTGTGTAATTCATTGATTATGTTTAAATCTGAAAAATCTATAGTTAAATTCGGGATTTATAACAAAATCATGTTGGGTAATGTTTTATTATATTGTTTGTCAATTACAAGTAATACATTTTTTAACAATGTTATTACTAAGTTCCTAACTTTAATGCAATTCCATATTTTTAATGAGTAAAGTTATTTCATGGTAATAAAAATTATAGACTATTTCATAATTAGCTTAATTATTAGATAACGATATAATTAAGAAAATGACTACTCGAAAATCACTTTTGGACCATTATTCAAACCTCGATTAAGGGAAGGCTCTTGAGCTTAATGGATAATATCGAATTTACTAGTCTAGTCATAATTAGTGAAGGAGTTTATCTGTTTTTATTTTTTGATCTCAATCGGGCTCTCTCATTATTTCGAAAGTTATTCGGAGTATGGCCGGAAATATCTAGTTATAAAAATAGTAGAACTAACTCTTCACTTCCACTAATTACTTTAAATTGTTAATAACTTCTGAAATAGTTATCCAAAAGTTATTATCGACTAGTAATTTTCTCAATTAGATTATTATCAAATAAATAAGCTAATTAATTATATGTGTTGTTAGTTGAGAAATTTAAGTTGACACTCTTATAAGGTACAAGGGATGAACATAAAAAATACTTTATGGTTGATAAATTGAGAGAAACATTGAACTAAAAGATTCCAATAAAAAAATAATCAATATTATTCTTATTTTTCAATTAATTTTAAGTGGTTTTTAATCACTCTGTGTTTTAATAATTACCACTGTTGTTATAACAGTAGATCATAGATCCTATGCAGCAGTACACAAGCACGTTTTAATTTGAAATATCCATGATAAGCCATTTATCTTAATTAAAAATAAATAGAAAAAATTCAATTAAATTGTTTACATTTTATTATAATACAATAAACAATAAAATAAATATAGGCCACATTAATCACTGGGATGTGAACCAGTATTGGGCAATCGAGTTTCACATCGTTAATATAACTTATATTATTATTAAATATAATTTTGATTTTTGAATAAAATATACGATTTAATAACCTCACTTTTAAAATATTATAGTACAAGAATATTCATTGCTCTTAAGATATTGTTATTAGGGGAAGTCTGAGCAAAACGGATAGCTAAGTTAAGAACAAAAAAAGATTATGTAATATCAATGTCAGATATCTTATAATAAGTTACAACATTGTAAAGTTATTTAAAATTTAAAATTTTACTTTTGGAGTTAATTTTATATTAAACAATAATAGGTTATTAACTTGCTATAACTAAAAAAAAAAAATTATTACATAGTCCTTTTACTTAAATAATTTGTAATATGAATATTGTAACCAATTTAAATTGAAAAAAAATTTACTACAACCCTCATTTTTAGAAATGATAAAAAATATCAAATTTTAATAATAAATTTTATATTTTATTCATCTGATTGTGATAGCCTAACCATAAGTAAACTTTTAATATACTAAGTCTACCATATTTCTGTATTATAAAATTTAATATTGTAAATCAAAAAAAGACTTTCTCATTTGTTTAAGTAACATAATAAATATCTATGGTTATTAATTAATAATAATTATAATTTATTTTATTTTACTTATTAATTTTTTTCCTTGGTAAAGTTTTAATAAATAAGATTTTTATCATTCAAATTTTCATTGCCAAATTAAAAATTGAGTATAAATTACATATAATATAGGATTTAAGTTACTTTTTGATGTTTTTTTTGTTTCTAATTTAAAAAAAAACCCACCCAGCACAGGGGGGTCGCGGCACAGTGGTGAAGTAGCATAGTTGGATCAAGTATAATGATATCTGACAGTGATTAAAAGCACTATAAAAAAAAAACGCTTCGATGCAAATCTTTAGATAGTGTTTAATTTTAAAAAATTAGTGGATTATTCCAAAAGCTACATGATCTGCTATTTTCTTATTTATATTCTGATTAAGACAAAGTATGTCGAATGAACAAGGGATATAAATACTATTTCTCATAAAAAAATTGTGTTGATTCATACATTTTTTAAAAAGTTATAGCATTATAAAGTTAAAAATGTAAAAAATAAAATCGAGAATTTTCACACAAAAATAGTATTCGGTAGCCATCTTGTGACGTATTATTGAAAGAAATCGGTTCGGTGAGAGCTGTGAAAAAGTGGTAACAGACAAAAAAAAACACATCATAGTAAAACCAACACCTTCTCAGCTTCGCATTAAAGCTAATATTTGGAGTTGGGTCTATTATAGAGATTTATTAATAGAGATTAAAATTTAATGAGTGAGGGGACGCTTTTACCATTAATGTGCAACTCAATAAATGTTTAATAAAACAATTATTATGAATGTTAACATGTATGCATTCTTTTAGAAAAAAAGGATTTCGAATGTGAATACATTTGTTTTTTAGATAAATGTCCAAACCCTGATTTTAATTAAATTGAAGAAAGAAGTAATAGTATTTTATTCATATTATTTTATTTTATCAATGTAGTTATTTTTATTTAACGGAGTGATTTTTTTTTAGGTCATCAAATAAAGGCTATTGTTAAAATATTGGACCAGGAAATGGAAGTCATAGACTTTAGATGGCGATCATGAAGTATAGTTTAATGGTTTTCCGAATTAAAGCGCTCTCTGGTGCTCGTGACCCAACTGTTATTACCCTAGTTTACATAGCATAAAATGCAAAGGATTGGACAACAGATTTTTCATAATAGACTTGTTGTTATTTTTCACGAACAAATTATAATTTCCATCTAACTATAAATGGTATGAATCAATTAATTGCAGAAAAGTATTCTCTTTATTTTATTTTCTAAACTCATGGTATTAGCATAAACTACAATTAAGTCTTGGATTGTTTTATGAAGTTAATTTTATGTAGTAATATATATAATAAACTCGATATTGACGCAAAACATTTAAGTATTTCAAACAATTTTGTAATTGTTTACACATGTGTTCAAATACGAAGTTTAATGAAAAATATTCATATCGTGTATTGTACAAGAACAAAATGGATATTAATATGTCAGTTAGTTGGCAGGATTCATTGCCATAATAATATACACTAAAACAATACACACTCTAACACGCATGCATTAGTATTGTTAATCATAGTTAGATTGCTATTTAAAATTGTCATATTATGTATTATTGCTTTTTTAAAAAATATATGAATTAATAATTCCACAAAATTATACTGTCATTTTTCATTTACACTACTGTTGCTACTGAGATAATGATTTTTTTTGACATACCTACCTTAGTTTTATTATTATTATAAAAGGGTCACACCCAAATAAAGGCTAGTGAAAAGGTCATAGTTTGACAGCTCACTCCCTCCTTGTTCTTTACATCAAAAGAATAGAGAATAGTAACATAAATATTATTATACACCGCATATTGTACTGATATTCATAATTTTTTTCAAAGCCATAGACTATGCCCTTATTATTGTGTGTTAAAATTTCCTAATTCAACGCTGGGATTATTTTACCTAGTTGTTTATTCTTATAGTCAAATATCGAGACAATACGCAATTTTTTTAAAAATACTAATGGGAAATAGGGATAAAAATTAAAAAAAAAAAAAGAAAACTTCATTAGTAGTGGCATAGATAGGATTTTTTATCTCGACATATATGAGTAAATTTTTTTTTTTAAATCAAATCTGGTTTATACTATTAAGAACGGTAATAATAATCTAGATAAGATTTAGATGTGTTATCTTATAACTTTTTTTTTAAATTATAGTTACATTAATTGAAAATATACTTTAAACATAGAAAAAATTCATCAAAAACGTAATGTAACTCCTGTTCAAGGAAATGTCAAAATGTCCTGTCACCCTTCTTAAATACAATACAAATTTAAAGCAAATGTTAATTAAAAAAAAAAATACATAAAATTTATTCTTTCACTAAATTAATAAATTCAAATATCCAATTAGTTGTTCGTCTATTAGCATAATGTATTATTTACAGCAGCTGTATTCCAAGGTTTATATTAGGACACTGATTCCTGATTGGGGTAAGCGTGTCGTGTTGGCGAGTTGATGTTGTTCACTCGGCGAGCGGCGTGACGTGTCCCTATATTTTACAGTCGGTTTTATTATTCATTCATTTGCTGCTGCCACCAATGCGATAACGTCGGTTACGGGGTATTTTTCTGTGATTATATGTCAAGAGTTTTTTTATCACATACTGAATTCGTTTGGTTTATCAATTTTAATAACAAAAAATTAATTACAATTATTTAACATAACTTTTTAAAATTAATATTACATTATTTAGTGTTCATATGTGCCTAAGATATTTTATTTTAAATTCTCAATAAATTATAACACATTTATATAAAAGTGATTAATTTATTAGACAATTTTCGAAGACAGCCAACAATTTTCGTATGAGTTTTCATAAATCAATCTATTGATTCTTCAAATTAATCATATCTTTTCCTGATCAGTTGGATTAATTTTATGCTTTGAATATTGTTAATTGTTCAAGGATACATTTATTTTATTGAAATCTGCCAGTATTTTTACGAAACAACTACAAAGTTTTTTTGAACATTCGGAAAATTGAAAATGTCACAACGAAAAAAAATAA